ATGAACACTCCAACAACAGAAAATTTGGATAATATATCTAACCGAAAAGCAAGGAAAAGCCTATTTAAAGTTATCTAGAGACTGGCTCCTTAGATCGCACAGTAAGTTCAACAAAAAAAAGGTAAAAGGTCAAATATTCTCCAGAACGATATGAGTCGAACAACGGGTACAGTAATAACAACCGAAATACACCGACCAAATAGCTCGATTTTGCCGCCCCCTCGTCGTGTGTTCAACAGCACCTTGCCCTATATATAAATAATTTCGTATGGCATCAGCAGTAATTATAAAAAGCTGACGTCTGTCGCTATTCAGAAACCGTCGTGAGAGTAGCATATGGGACATTAGACAGAAAATTGTAAAACACTAACTTAAAAAATGGGAAGTGCGTATAAAGACAAAATTGGAGTGAACCACAGAAAACGTAGGTCTGCCGCCTTCTGGGAGCGCTACCTGACGGTCATTTAGATAGATTGAAGAGCATCACGAGTTAACCAAACACAATGTCTACCTTGAGGGCCTGTCGTTTCGTAACATAGTTGTCCGAGGTCAACATGGAGAGGTAGTGAGCGAAAAACACGTCATAGTTCTGAATGAGGAACTCAGCAACTTCAGGCTTATGCCGCGTGAGTAGATCCCTGAGAGTAGCGAAGGCGTCTGAACTGATGTCAAAAGCAGTGCCTTGAACGTGTCGGAAGAGGTCATAGAATCCAGGTGAGCCGAGGACAACTTTTGTGATGTTCTCGTTTCTGCAGGCATCCCTGAGAATCTAGTGGAGTAAAACGGTAAAATGCGTTTATAGACTCATAAAAATTGCGCAGGTTTTTAACAGGCCAGCATTCAATCAATGGACAGGCTTGTCAAGGAAACAACTCCAAACAAATGAACACTTGTTATTTTGAGGGCGGATAGATAAATCAATAAACTAAAAAGACATATCAGGCATACAAAAATATATGATTTTAAGCCTATGACACGACTCTGTGACTCCAGAATTTACTTCTACAAAATTAGGGTGCATTGACGCATCAACTTAGCTAGGATAGAGCGTTAACAGACATCCCCTCAAGTTCCGATTATTTACTCCTACACCAAACACAGAACCGTTTACCGAATACTACCAAACTATCAACCGAATATGCGAGTGACCTTAACACTACTGATTAGCTGGGATTCTACTACATCACGAATGACTGCCGTCCACCGCAGTCGGTCAGTCAGTCAACCTCAGGAGCTCAGTGCTACTGCCCTCGACTTGAAACCATTGCCTAATTAGAAATGTCGAAGAGGGGTCAACTCAAAACCTAGCTCGACTCAGTCCGTCAGGACATGGAAGTGGTTCTTGGACCTTACTTACTTATTTGTACTTGTTACGGCTGTGATCATGCCTGATCTAGCCGGC